GCAAAAGCTTTTGTTGTGATGATATATTCACATGTATGTGGTTGCATTATGTTACAGCAAACAAAAGAGCATATAAATGTAAGATCATCCTTGCTGGATCACTTCAATGGCCTATCAAAGTCTCTTGCTGTAACCAAACTACTGTGGAGAAATAAGCAAGACATGAGTGCCGCTGCATTTTCCCACTTATATATTTCATCACTTGTGCTGAGACCTCTGTTACTGTATGGGATGTAAAGCAATCATGTCTAGTAGCCATAGGTAATTTTCATGAGTTTGTCTAATCGCATTTTAATGTAGATCTGTTCGGCAGGTGTCCCTATATCACACCGATATGGGGTGTATTTATATGTCCTTAATATTTTGCAAATTTACATTTGAACCCTTCTGGTGCCTAAATTTAAGAAAATAAATGTGAATCATTCTCATTATGAATTGGTTATCATTTGCAAGAATCCAGATAACATAGTTCTTAAAGCTGTACTGAATGCAATAGATTGCAAATAAGGAATTGCATAATTACATCACCATGCATAGTAATGCTGTGAACTGTGTGCTTAGTTTGACCCATAACATTTGAGGTATGAAGGGCCTGCTTTAAAGTATCATGCAGCACCTCCAGAAACTGAAGTCCTTGGTTGACATAAACATTCTTAAGAGCCATATGCTGTGATTAGCCCTTTCACTTAGGGCCAAACTACATATTATGCAGAGAATCCAAGACAAGCTCTCCCAGTGTTTACATTTTTACTTAACAGTTAACTAGGGGGGCTCTGGTGTTAACTCTACAGAGGCAAGAGGAATAAAAGTATTTGTGTTTATCTTCCAACAAGGTGAACAGTGACCTGGATGGAGTAGGGGTGGTTTAGATTACAAAATTAGCAGAGAGAGAAATAAGAGATAAATACCCCTTCTGTAACATCACTGCTCAGTTAGATTCAAAGAACTCCAAAATCTGTCTGGAGGGGGGGGGGCATGTGGCACTCCTTTCGTGGGTCTCCTCCCTCCATGTTTTGTTTGGCTTTTGTACATAGATTGTGATATTTCTGGCTCAGTAAAGTTCACACAAGCCTGGAAATACATGCCAATTCTACATTTTAACTACTGAATTGTTCTTTTGTAAAATGTTTCATTGAAATGCACTTAGAGGGAAGCCATGAGGGCAGCTTACATAAAAGGATCAGTGAATATACGCCATTTTGTGAGGATTTTGGTTATGAAATGGAGGTTTAACGTGTGAGGTTAACAGAATCCTCCAGGGCAACAAACTCTGATGGAAAGGACTACAGTTCCAAGTAGACTTTGGGTGATCCTTCCTGAATTCAGCTTGTAGAGTTTGGTGCCTGCAGAGCAGCTGCCCTTCCTGGGCTCTGAGCCCTCAATCCCCTTGAACCAGAGAACTGGGCCAGTTGCTCAGCAGTACCTCTTAACACTGTAGGAAGTTTGAATGCTTGTCCTTGGCTTTGAAAAAGAAGCATGAGGGAAGCGTAACCTCCTGTTCAGCGCTGCCAGCCAAAGCAGCTCTTCATAGGGACACTCTGATATCCATTAGCAAAGCAGCTGCCATGGAGAGAGGCAGAGAGTGGCCAGATTTGTATTCCTCATCAGCCTCTCATGGGGTTGTCAAAGATATCCTGGCACAAGAAGAAGCAAGAGATACTTGCACAGATGGGTCAAGCAAGGCTTAGAGGTAGGGGAATAATGAGTCTTGATTAACCAGTGGGGTTGCTTTATGGCATAAAGTAAAGGAAGCCTGGAATTCTGGACTTTAAAAACAAAACAAGCACAGTGACCAGAAAATCATCCTCTTGAAATGACACAATTATTATTATTTTATTATGTATTTGATTACAGAAAGTTGTCTGAGGAGGTGGGGTGTAGTATTGCCAAATCACTGTGGGGTTGATGGTAATTTTTGTTCAGCGTTATTTTACTTCCCCCACCCCCTGACTCAAAAAGAAGGATTTAAGATTCAGAAAGTGGAGATAGCAGGGTAGGGAGCTTGTAGAGGATCTGAAAAGTGGGTGGATTTTTCTAAGTTATTGTATTTCTTGTAGAACATAACATAGTGCTTATGCATGAGGTTCTTTCTTCTAAAGCAGTGGTTCTCAACCTGGAGTCCCCAGATGTTTTTGGCCTACAACTCTCAGAAATCCCAGCCAGTTTACCAGCTGTTAGGATTTCTGGGAGTTGAAGGCCAAAGGCATCTGGGGACCCCAGGTTGAGAACCACTGTTCTAAAGAGAGTGAAGGATGTTCAGAAATCTAGAATTGGCTAGAAGAACAATACCTGTAGCATTCTTCTGCATAAGACTGTTGTACAGGCATTCCCTGAGCTAAAAACATCCAACTTATAAGCAATTTGTTAGGAACAGAGATGAGACAACAGGAAGTGACAGAAATCTACCACTGGAAGTGTTATTATGGGGAGAAGGTATCTCAACTGAAACTTTATCACCAATCCTTATTTCTAAATAAATCAAAATTTTCAAAATCCAATTATCACAGGGACAGAAGGTGAGATGAAATCTTCTGAACAGGGGCAAAGGCTGCAAAATAAACACCATAAGGGTGTTAACCCTTCCCTATGTTATCCAAAGCTTGGATGGATGGATGGAGAGGGCTGGAGTTATACTTAAAAATGTTCCTGTTCTGACTTACACACAAATTCAACTTAAGAACAAACCTACAGGATCTATCTTGTTCGTAACTTGGGGACTGCCGATACTTGGAGTCATTTCTGTGAGTTTTACTTAGGACCTTATCACACAGTCTTATACTTCGTCTTTGATACCCTTTACTTACTAGTGCCTCTGGTTCCTATCACATGATGCAAAGTCTGTTTTGTTGGTACCTCATAGAATCATAGAGTTGGAAGAGATGTCGTGGGCCATCCAGTCCAACCCCCTGCCAAGAATCAGGAAAATCACATTCAAAGCACCCCTGATAGATGGCCATCCAGCCTCTGCTTAAAAGCCTCCAAAGAAGGCGCCTCCATCACACTCCGGGACAGAGTGTTCCATTGCTGAATAGCTCTCACAGTTAGGAAGTTCTTCCTAATGTTCAGATGGAATCTCTTTTCCTGTCGTTTGAAGCCATTGTTCCATGTCGTAGTCTCCTGGGCAGCAGAGAACAAGCTTGCTCATAGGTCAGAGCTTTCCAAACTTTTCATGTTGATGATACACTTTTTAGATATCCATCCTTTCGCCACACAGTAATTCAATTTTACGTGCAAACTGGAGGTCAAACCAACCCACTCTAAGATTTTCACATAGTATATATAATATATATATTATATATAAGTTTCATATAATCTTTACTGTGTAAACGAGGTTTGGAAAGTTTCCCTTTACGTTTCTTATTACTACAGTTGTGTGTCTTTTCCTCTATATCCGCTCCACGTGATTAATCGCAAACATCATTTTCAACAGATGTTATTTTGTTAATTAGAAACATCCATTTTTGTGATAATTACCGCAAGTCAATCAACAAATTGTGCAAATTATAGAAGTTATAAAAGTACTTACACTTGAACAGCACCAGCATTCCACTTCTGTAGTGATTAAACCACTCTGGAGGTTTTGAGCTGAAACTGTCTTTTGGGAGGACTTTGACTGTGTCTTCCTAGTTAGCTGTACAGTGTTTAATTCTCCAGGGATTGTATTTAATCTGACCTCTCCACCATGACCTTCCCATCTTGGGTGTCCCTTCATGGTTTCGCTCATGGCGTCATTGAGGTGCTCAAGCTCCAGCACCACAACAAGGCAATGATCCTTTGCAGGAGAATTAACTAACATCCTGGTGCATATTTTAACATAATCAGTAATTTGGGGAATCTAGAAAGTTAGGATAAATTGCTAGGGGAAAATAACTGAGTGACTAAGAAGGCACATTAAACTTGTGCTTTGCAGAGCCCCTCTCATGGAAAAAAGGCATTTAACAGTAACCAATGCAAACCATTTCATAAGCCCAATTAAAATATATTTAGAAGAATCAGTTCATCCAAGAGTGACTACAGTGTGCTTGCAACAATCTGCTCAAACACTGTGCCCAGGAAGGGGGAATTCTAGGTTAAAGTTTTTCACATCTTTGAGGCCTAGGTTAGGTTACTTAAGGAATAATATAATATTCATTTGGAGACTGTATTGTCTGTATTTTAGTGCAGTCTTGGGCATAGGGGACTCATTGCGTAATCTATATTGTAAAAGTAAAAACATAATATTTTGTGCTATTCGTGGGTGCATTTGTTATCTATTTATCAAAATGTACATACAGTATGTATGCCTCTAGAACATGGCCATATAGCCTGAAAAAAACTACAACAACCCAGTGATTCCGGCCATGAAAGCCTTTGACAATACATACAGTATGTTTTTTGCATAATGTATTTAACTTTGTTATTCACAAGACAGACCTAGAAGCTCTGTGTGTTGTTCAGGTCTTGAACAATGCCTGTTTGGGGTGCATCTATACTGTAGAATTAATGTATTTTAGCAATGCTTTAAGTGCCATGGCTCAATGCTGTGGATTCATGGGAGTTGTCATTTTTAAAAGGTCTTTAGCCTTCTTTGCCAAAGAGTGCTGATGCTTCACAACTCGAAATCCCAGGATTCCCTAGCATTGACCCATGGCAGTTAAAGTGGTATCAAACTGCATTAATTCTATAGTGTAAATGCACCCCTGGTCATCTTTCTGTGAGCTAACCATGCATATTTAACCTATTTTTTCAGTCACATGGACCAGAATTTTCTTGCTCTTTGTTTAAACAAGCACAATGAAAGATGAAATTCGAAGGCCATTGGCCCAGTGCTGAATTGTATTTTTATTTCAATTTGTACAGATTTGATTATAGCAAACCTTCCACAGTACATGTAGAGCAGACTAACGAATAAATGGTTAAGGCAGACTAGGGAATATACCTTGAACCATTGTTCTCACAAAATAGGGAAATTGATCCCTATCTCTTAATCTTCAGAATTTCTTCTGTCTTTTGTTTTTCAGAAGAGGATGTGGAGAATTTTGATGTTACAAATCTGTCTCAGGAGGTGATGCGGAGCATTGAAGCAGATAGCTTTTGGTGTATGAGCAAGCTACTAGATGGGATACAGGTAGACTTTGCTTTCTCAGTCTCTTTGTTTATTCCTTCTGAACCTTGGTTTTTTTCATCATGTCAGGAGTGATTTGAGAAACTGCAAGTTGCTTCTAGTGTGAGAGAATTGGCCGTCTGCAAGGACATTGCCCAGGGGATGTCCAGATGTTTTTTTGATGTTTTATCATTCTTGTGGGAGGCTTCTCTCATGTTCCCGCATGAGGAGCTGGAGCTGATAGAGGGAGCTCATCCCTGCTCTCCCTGGATTTGAACATGTGACCTCGGTGAAAACTACTTAAAACCTTGATCATGCTCCATACTAAAAATGCTGCATCCAGGCAATCTAAGTATTGCACTTAAATATCTACTTTCTGTCCTTTGTATGAATAATACCAATTCAGCACAGTTGCATATTTTTTTCTTGTCCTTCATGATTCATTCCACATTTGCATAATTTATTCATTTAGATCAATAATGTCTTGCTGAGCATATTTACTTTTGAATTTGGCCACTAGAATTGGGCTAAACAGATTGCATATAATAATAGGACATTAAGTTTTCCAACCTAGTACCCTCCATATGTATCAGACTACAGTTCCCATAGTCTCCCAGCAAACTTGGCATGGAATTGCCCATTAATAAATAATTCTTTTCAGTTGGAGTCTAACAGGCATAGTGTGGAGTAAGTGTCACTTTTACATTTATTTATTTATGACATTTCTACCCTGCCTTTCTCAACCCTGGAAGGGACTCAAGGCAGCTTTACACATAGGCAACTATTTTATGCCATTAAAAACAATATACAATTAAAATGAGCATTTTAAATAGAATTATAAAATACATCAAAACATTTAAAAGCATTTAAACCAATATCACCATTGTTAAACCATGCTATCCATAATTATAATCCAGGCCATTCCAGTAGTCCTTGCACATAATTCTAGATCTGTCTATTGCACAATTTTGCCAAAGGTTTGATCAAAGAGCCACATTTTTTACTCTCTTATGGAAGGTCAGGAGGGAGGGGGCTGATCTAATATCCCTTGGGAGGGAATGCCACAGCCAAGGGGCCACCACTGAGAAGGCCTTTCTCTCATTTATGCCAGTCATGCCTGCGAAGGAGGCTGGAATGAGAGCAGGGCCTCCCCGGACAATCTTAAACTCCGAGATGGTTCATAGGAGGAGATCCATTCGGACATCCATCTTCTTAATTGATGCTACTTTTATAAGACTGTGCTGGGCAAATTGTGTGTATGCCTGATTTTGAATCTGCATTATTTTAAAGAGATACCTGAACATGGCTTTTATGAAAGAATTTTTCAAAGCTAGAGAACTTTTACCCTCCATGTAGTTTGGATTACAACACCACTGGGGCTCATCAGAGAGCTGCAATCTTTGTTTGCATTGTGCACCTTTCTTGTAGAAATTCCTGACTACATCTGATTATGTATCCATTAAGGAGAAAATTGGTTAATAGCTGAACCATCACCTTTTCCAATCACCATGAAACAGTCAGGCAATTTCACTCATTCAATAGGTTCTGATGATCACCAGCCCTGGAGTTCTTACTTCATGATACATGTTGCATGAATTTGGTCCCAGGATGGAGTTCTAGTAATTCCCCCCCTCCCCCCACATATATATGTCATTTTAAAAAATCACATATATACAAGGTATAGAACTCAGGTAAGAAAGAAAAAAGGGAGGTACAGATTCCAGTACTTCTTGAAAACTTCCACTTCATAAAACGGGAACATTTTAGAAAGGACATTTGAAAATGGACATTTTCCTTTACATGCACTGGTTTTTGTTATTGGGATTTTTATTATTTATTTACTTATTTATTGTGTGTTACAGGACAATTACACATTTGCACAGCCTGGAATCCAAAAGAAGGTCAAAGCACTGGAGGAACTTGTCAGCCGTATCGATGGTAAGTGAGGCTAAAGCTACTGAAGATGAATTTCAGTTTGCCAGGTTCTTCACCTTTATATCCCCACCTCAGTTGCAAAAGAAAAAAGACTCTGAGTGTGAGGTGTACAAAGGTACCATGATGCTAAAACAGCTAGAAGATGATCCATTCAGAATGTCAAATCTCTTTAAGTTCTTCATGTCTTCAGTGACTCACACAATAGAGTTTACCGCCGCTGTGCAGTGCATCATTTGGAACATATATAAGTGTTTTTGTGGTGACCTCTTCTCCCCGATGCATGTAACCAGCCTGATTCCCACATAAACCCTCAGCTCCGTGACGCAATGTGCATTTGATGATGGTTAGGCCCCTGCTTATGAACGCCCAGCCCAAATTGACAGATAGATGGTACTTAGCACTTTACCCCCCCCCCCCCCCCCCCCCCCCGCCCCTATAGTTTGCTTTTTGCACAAGTCCATACCCAGCCCTCTCTAACTCTGATTATGTCCATCATATTTCTGGTCACTGGTTGTTGAAGTTTGCTTCTGATACATCTTAATTATGTTTTTTATACCCTGCTGTTTTTATTGTTTTATTAGATTGTGATATGTTATTGTGTTTTTAACTGTGTTTTTAGTTGGTAACCTTTGTAGTTCACTCTGGGTTTGGTCCCACATGTAAGCCACCCCGAGTCCCTTCAGGGAGATGGTGATGGAGTATAAAAATAAAGTTGTTGTTATTGTTGCTATTATTATTATCGTCGTCGTCATCATCATGCTAAAGCAGCAGCTAAGGAGCTTGAGAGAGCACAGTAAACCGTGAGCAAGTGCTATAAACACCTATGACTTCACATATGACCTCTCAAAGAAATATAGTTACTTCATTACATCATTAAGGAATGTTAGGATTGCGACAAGAGAAGATTAGCTGATAGACCTGCAAAAATGGCTGCCGTTTCTAAAGTGACCCTGTAGGAAGCTTGTGGTTTAAGCTGGTTTTGTGAGTGGGACTTGGGTTAACTGAGATGAAGTTTGATTGGTAAATAAATGTAAATAAAAACAGAATGCTACTGAGATAATGACTTGTGAGGTTTGTCAGTGGGAGATACTCTATATTCAGCAGTGTAAATGGAATGTGCTGTTTCAGAACAGGTACACAATCACTTCAGGGAATATGAAGTAGAATACCTGCAGTTTGCCTTTCGTTGGATGAACAATTTACTGATGAGGGAGCTTCCTCTTCGCTGCACCATTCGCCTTTGGGATACCTACCAGGTATGGACTGTCTAGTCTTCCTGTTGAAGCTGCTGATATCCTCTTGATTGCGGGGATTTTGCATTGTCTGTATTGGACCAGACTGTATAGTCAGTTTTCATGTGCCCGTATATTCAAGTGAATGCTTTCCCACGCAGATGCACAAACCCCCATAAAACTTGTAGAAACTGTAAAAAATGAACGAGCTACATGAATTCATTCTTTCTAACCCCAAGTGTTGTGGATTGTTTTTTCAGTCTGAGCCAGAGGGATTCTCTCATTTCCATTTATATGTCTGTGCTGCATTCTTGATTAAGTGGCGGAAAGAGATCTTGGATGAAAAGGACTTCCAGGTAAATCTTCACAAGGCAATTACATTTAGGAAGAAATGCAGCATGATTGTCTTGCTTGAGGCTTTTATCAGTTTAGCATAAGACAGTAGACTGCACCATAAGCAGCAAGACTTCTGGCCTGTAATTGGGTGAACAAAATGATGCTATCTAGAAATCCAGTTATTTTCCATGTATAAATCCCCAATGGTGGGACCCTAAATATGTCTGTTAAGTTAAATACTTAATTTCTTGTGTTTAAAGTTCTGAAATATATCATATTTTTTACTGCTTACATACAGAATCATCACTGTCCCATTTGCCTCAAATTGGTGAAAATTAATTCCTAGTGGCTGCAGTTCAAACTTAAATGTAACTAAGCATGGATTCAGCTTTTTGCCTTAACTGTGGGCATCTGGACATTCTGCTTGCTTACTGCAATAGCCACGCTTCCACCTCTGCACCAAATTTTGTTCTTTATTCCAGGGCCTTCTAATGCTGCTACAAAATCTACCCACGATACACTGGGGCAATGAAGAGATTGGACTCCTCCTTGCTGAAGCCTACAGACTGAAGTACATGTTTGCGGATGCTCCCAATCATTACCGCCGATAGGTATCAAGCTTCTGCCTCTGCGCTCCATCATGTTGGCCCAGTCCCAATCACTGTGGCGTTGCATCACTTGAGTCCTCAGACACTCTGACCAGGAACCCACTCTTTGCTGTAAAAAGCTCACACTGGACTTCCGTCTTAACTTTGCGTGTGCCTGCCACTCTGTGCGTGGATGTGCCACTGAAACCACCATTAGTGTCCCATGCTGTTATGGTGGCCTGAGCTCAGTTGGGGAAGATGTACGAATAAACTGAGCCCCTGAATGCACTTCAAGCCCCAGCCTGGGTCATCTGAGCCTTGCAGCCTCTTGTTAACCCGCTTAAGCACAGACACACTCATGCACTCCCAGCTGGGCCTGTATATTCCCCCTCCCCAGACGCTGTTCAGTCAAACTCCCCAATGAAGATGCCTTACAAAGAGTTCTGCCCTGGGGAATGGCAGTGCCGTCGGACTCAAGAAGCTCTCAGGGCTTAGCTTCACTCGGCGTGTCTGAAGAAGTGTGGCATTTTGAGAGTTAACAAGAGAAACATACACTCCACACACACACCTCCACACAGTTACACCCTGTGAAGCATGTCTCTTTGCATAGGTTGGTACACATGTGTTCAAAAGGCTGTCTTGTCCACACACTGTTTGGAATGACACAAGTGAACAAGACAGTAAGTCTTCTGTGATTGATTGATTGATTGTTTGGTTGGTTGATTGGTTGGTTGATTGGCTAGCTGACTTTCTGTCTGTCTGACCTGCTGTGTGAATTGAACTGAAGGGGGAGGGCTGAGCTTTTAAAAATCTTTCTGTGACAATGACACTCCTCCAAGGAATTATGTGTATATTGTGTTCTTGTGTATATGGGTAAAAGATGTACAATATCAGTCTTCTGTTTGTAGCAGATATGATTTTATATTTATAACGTGTGTCTCAAGCGTGTAAAGACTGCCTCGGTTACAAATGACAGTGGGCCCCCTGCCTCCCCTGGTTGTCAGGGTTTTGGAGCTGTCTGCACATCTGCACTAGCACATTATTCCCCTTCCTCAAAACTTGCATTTTATTTTGGTTAGGACAAACTTCACTCAGAAGCAAAACACATGGAGCGACCTCTGGAGCTTCAACCATCTGGCCCTAAGTAGGCCATCTGTGGTTGACACCAGGCCTGTATATTAGTGTCTCCATCTCTTGGGATGGGGAGTGCGACCCAGCCTGCGTTACCTGGCTTTTCTCTCTTCCCCGCCCTGCTTGGCCTCCTTCAGTGAAGAAAAGATGACTTTCTTGCTTCAAGGCTCTAAACTGTTCTGGAGAGAGAGGAAGAGGTGCTGGATTCTGTACCAGACCCCCTTCCTCCATGCTCCACTGTTGTTTCAGTGTGATTTCTGACAAACAACTATATAAAAAAAGTGTGTTTTCATTTTAATGGTTTATTCCAGCCAGCAGGTGGAGTCTCATTAGTGCCAAGCCTTGACCTCTTTGGTTACATTTATTCCCTGGGCTGTTTTGCAGCTTGTGTTGGGCTGACTTTTCATTTCATCAGGTTTCAAACTGCTCGCTCCTCCTTTTGTTTTCCCACTTGGGGCTGGAAATCAAAAGCAGTCCAGCAGCTTTCTTGTAGTGATGGCACCAGAGGATGCAGGAGGCACAACAAGGCAAGAGTCTTGCTGCCACTCAGACACGAAGCAGCGTTTCCCAAATGGCTTTTCTAACCTGAAGTTGTTTTCTCAGGCATTCTGACTTGATTTTCTTTTGTGTGTGTGCCTTTTGTTGTTTCCTCTGAGACAGCAACCTGGTGGTCATTAGTTTAACATGACTAATTAAAAAGGAAAACCAAAAACATGTTTCCAATCTTCTTTTATTACTGATTCTATAGGATTATGGGCACTGACAAGGCTTCTGAGGACCTTCCTCTGTTTTCTGGATTCATCTCACATTGTAGTGGACTTCAGTCCAGGGTGACTTGGTTTCTACAGTATTCTCTCTTTGAAAAGTACTATTCTAATCTTGCTCTTGTTTATGATATTGGTACAGGAATAGTTAGATGTATTCTTGTTTTTATAATAAGGACAGGGAATGTGAGGCCCTTCAGATGTTGATTATAGTTACCCTAACTTTAGCTAGCATTGCCATGGATGATGCAGTCCAGCAATACCTGGTGAGGGATAGAATTTGCATGACAGTTTCAAAATTTTCACTGTGCCCTAAAAATCTGGGGTCATAGTACTCAAAAGCAGAGCTTGGGAGAGAATATGGTTCATGAACAGAATGGCACAAAAATGCTTTAGTCTGCCGATCAGAAAATGATATATGGGAAGACTGGATGTAAAAATACCTTCTCTTTCCTGTTGCTGAAATGATTTGGGTCACAGGACAGTGTCTTTATGGGTTAGAGGAAAATCTGCGCTCTTTGCTAGTAATGTCTTTGCATAAATAGTGCTAATTGAGTGAATTGTTGGACTCATAGCTTTTGTTGTGTGGGACTTTCAAAGACCATGATCTGACACCTGTCTGAGGCAGTCTGTTCAATTTCATCCAACAATCCTGAATCCAGACCTAATTTCAATAATGTGAAATAGCAAAAAGCAAATTGGTCCCTTAGGCAAACCTGAAAAATTAATGCAGCACATAAACATATTTCCAGAGAAGACAATTCTGTGACATTGGCAGCTTTGCTACAGAGTCGCTTTGGAGGAGTCTCCAAAGAGCTTCTGATGAATGAGATGAATCTGTCGACAACTGTCCAGTTAACAGTTGCTCTTGTAGCTTGAAATGGTTCATTTGATCTTAGGATTCATGGCTTGGATCTACTGTTCTTGTTGTTCTTGTTTGTAGCCAGAGCTGGAAGGAAATGTGGTTCAGCCAACCAAGGCATACAAGGATAAGACATGTGAAACAAGTCACTTGTCTGCTATGGTAAATCCTTCTTAGTTGTTCCCACACATACTTGTTTTAGTGCCACCTTCACCCAAAAGTTATTTTCAAATCCATCAAGAAGAGCTTGCAGCTGAAACTGGACATCTTTCCATTTTTCATGCAGACTGGGCTCAGCACAGCAGGTCACTCCAACTTCCTCACCCCCACCCTAAGTTAATTACTATGAAAATAAAAAGTTCACTGGAGTGGAACAAACGTAATTACTTTTTGGGAGCCTAATTATCTGCATTTATTGCCAGTGCTTTGTTGTAATTGATTGCTAATGGTCTGCTTCACTCTGGAATTATCTAATTAATACCCCCACAGAAGAAATCAGACTCCACTCTGAAATGGTAGGGGTTTTTTTTTAACAATCCTGACTGCAGTTGTTTCTGCTCTGGTGCTGCTGTTGGGCATTGTTTGTATCTGGATACATCCTAGGAGTATATTGAGCACCTGTATTTTGTTGCTTTGCAATCCTGATGGCCCAAGACTTTTTTATTTTCTTCTGTAAAACAGATCTTGCTCATTGCTAAAGGCAAATCCCAAGTATGTTGAGTTGGATTATGTTGGCACCTTTTCAGCCTTTTTGACTCTGCTTCTCTTTCATCCTTCTGCCCTCATCCTTTCTTCTCACAAATTGCATTGTCTGGCAGTGGCTGTGGTTTTAGGCTGTGGCCATTTTCTGTCACCTATACTTTAGCCTTCCAAAGCATTCAGCTGTTTGCAGAGAAAAAATTCTGGTGCTGTGAAATCAATTGAAATTGTGACCCTGGGCTCTTTTCTGCACGTTAACCGTAGAGGCTTGTTTGCACATTTATGTATATAACCTAATTTCTCATCAGTACGGTTTTCAGTGTGCAGCTTAAATATATGAGCTGATGCCACCGTGTTTAAAGAGAGACAGGAGTTTACAGTAACCAGCTTGACATGGCCAATCCATCTTTGCAACATCTTCCTTTGATGTTGCAGTCATTGAGTGATGAATGTCCACATGGAAATATGCTCCACAAAAGGCTCCTAAATTCATTGCTCTTAAAAATACCCAGATCTATAACTAATTTATAAGATGTGTTGACAGTTTTTTCTCTTCTTATTTTTAGCTATGGTTGCTGTCCTGGAAAATAGGTATGGTGTTACCTCTCCAAAAGCAGCATTTAAACATTGTGATCCTTGATTTGTCCTTAAAAAAGGCATGTAGACTTCACTTTGAGGAATAGAGAGAGAGATAATCTCATTTAGCTAACATGTTCCATCAGAAATAGTAATTATACTATTATATGCACTCAGAATTGTTCTCTGAAGGGTAGATTCAGGACTAACTAGCTCAGAATGAAAGTTTGCTAATGTGGCTACCATATAAAGCCCTATGATCCCCTCATGTTATTTTAATATTTGGGGGGAATCATTTGAAGCCTCTTGCTCTTGTGAGATATCTGCCACCTTTTTGCTTTAGCATACAACACATTAAGAAAAGGAATGTTTCAGACATTGAGAAGATGGGAAGACAATGTTGTCTTAATTGTGTGCAAGTGAAAATGGAATTTGAAGCAAATGTAATCCAGAAGTTTAAGCAACTGCAGAGTCCAGAAGAATAAAAACATTTCAATATTACAAGAAAAGGGGGAATTATACTAGAAATAATCATGGAATCAAAGTAGTTTTGTTGACATCAGTGCAAAAAGGAGCAAGGATTTATTTATTTACTTTATTTTTATCCTGCCTTTCTCCTGATACAGAGACTGGCGAGATGCAGGTTTTTGTCTTCTTTAGGACCTAATTTCCTGCTTCCCTTTCTCATTCAGTGCGCGCAAGAAAAAGGTAGACATTTCCCTAAGGATACCTTCAGCCTTTCAGCAATTCTTTCAGTAATGCAAGCCAATCTCAGGCTAATTTATGCAATCTGATCAAGTTGTAGAATGCAAACTGAGTGGCTCTGTGTAGAGCTGAGAGCAAAAGAGACATTTGCATCTTTCAAGAAACAGGTTGAGTATTCCTTATCAAAAATGCTTGGGACCAGAAGTGTTTTGAATTTCATTTTTTTCCAGATTTTTGTAAATCCATATATATACCTAAAGAGATATCTTAGAGATGAGATCCAAGTCTAAACAGAGGATTCATTTATGTTTCATATACCCATTATATACTTAGCCTGATGGTAATTCCATACAATATTCTAAATAATTGTGGGCATAATCCATTAGAAAGCAAAGGGGTCAAGGTCTCAGCCACCCATGTTGGCCGTTTTGGAATTTTGGAAAAAGAATGCTTGTATTTCTGTTGAAAAATACTCAATGGAGTGCAAAATGTATTATAACCTGCTTGTTATAGAAGTATATTTCTTCACCTGTGATTTCTTTTTTCACAGAGAAGCTTTTGCGCAATGAAACAGTAGTCAGTATGAATTCTAGCTCTGGCTGACTATATAAGCTTGTTGTTCTCATAGCTGCATAGCTAATTATCACAAACTGCAGATAAAGAGAGCAAATTAGTGTCTAGACCAGGGATCCTCAAACTTTAACCAGAGGGCCGGTTCACAATCCCCAGACTATTCCTATGCACACTCAACATATCTTATTTGTAGTGCAAAATATGGAAGAACAATACAACATTTAAAATGAAGATCAATTTTAACCAACATAAACTTGTTAGTATTTCAGTGGGAAGTGTGAGCCTGCTTTTGGCTGATGAGATAGTCAAGTTAATTAGGATCGTTGTTGTGGTGTGCCTTCAAGTCATTTAAGACTTGAGAGAAGCCTCCCACAGAATGGTAAAATATACAGGCGTTCCCTGGGCAACGTCCTTGCAGATGGCCAATTCTTGCACACAAGAAGCAACTTGCAGTTTCTCAAGTCACTCCTGACACAGAAAAAAAATCAGTCTAAAGTTTAGGGTGGTGGACAGGCAAGTGTCCTTGGAGGGCCACATCTAGCCCACGAGCCTTAGTTTGGGGACCCCTGATCTAGACTGCACCCCAGCTAAGGACCTATAATAGAGTGCTCCCATATGGGGTGAGGGCATGAATAGAAAAAGGCCAAGAAAGAAAGTTCAGTGAAAATTCAGAATTGGAACCCTGTGGTATGAAAGGCCAACATGGAGTGGAAAATTGATGATATGGAAAGGAGAGAGTGCTTCTCGAACATGGCCATACAGCCCGAAAAACTTACAATAACACCTCCCAGCAACAGAAATGCTGGACCACACAAACAACCACCATGTCAGACTACACAGAGAAGCCATTGAAATCCACAAGCATGTGGACAATTTCAACAGAAAGGAAGAGACTATGAAAATGAACAAAATCTGGCTACCAGTATTAAAGAACTCTAAAATTATAACAGCTAAACAACAGAGAGGAAGAAACCAGGCACAGATTAACACCTCCCAGCAACAGATTTTCCCAGGTTCAGGCAGGCCTTCAAATGCTAATGAAGGTGATTAGCTAAACATTCACACCTAACTGCAGCAGGGAAGAGCTCCTTGCCCCACCCCAGTCATTCCACAGATATATAAACCCATTGTCCTAATTCCAACAGACCTCTACCTCTGAGGATGCTTGCCATAGATGCAGGCGAAACGTCAGGAGAAATGCCTCTAGAACATGGCCATATAGCCCGAAAAAACCCACAAGAACTGAGTTACAATAACCCATTTATCTCCTTTGTTTACTTTTTAAAATTCTTAAGTAGTTTGTCTGTTTGGTTTTATTTTAAAGTAGAATTGGCGAATATAGTTGCTTCCTCATCCTCCTATGTAAATCAGGCCTGAAGAACTGCTGAGCTGCTTCAAGATGTGCCAAGTCTTCATGAATGCTTTCACCACATTAGATCTATTTGCCAGTCTGATTTTATGAATTGGCAATAGTACAACTTACTACCAAGTGGGGAAAACTTCAGTCAGTTAAGAGACAGAACATTTTTTAAA